AGTGAGAGTGATACCTCCCGTCACATCACTATCTGTGCGGCAGAGACGATAGCGTCGGGTGTGTACGCACTCATTGACGGCTGACTGCTGGTCTCATGTTCCTGCTCGTCCTCCTCCACACAGGAAGACATGAAAGAGCTGTCGGCAGTGCTGGGCAGTGATTGGCTGTGAGGAGGTGGGAGGAGGTGTGGTTTAGACAGGAAGTGGTCACAGGCAGACGGAGAGGTGCTGAGTGCTGTACCTGAACATGTGAAGGTCCAAGGATCCCAAAAGACTGGAGGAAGCAGATGTTCCCAGGTCAGAGGTCACCACCCCTCGTTTGAACGGGTTGATGTGATCTAAGACAGAGACGGCGATGGACGCCCGCGTCCTGGCACCTGCAGACATTAAGAATCATCATCAGTGAACAACAACTGAAGAATGTAAGTAATTTTTAACCAGAACAAGAACTCTGGTTCTAAAAAAAGTCTGTTCTGGAAGAGGATATTAATTTGGACCCTGGTATTTTTATTTTTTTGTTTTGTGAATTATTTTTCTGTGAAGTTAAATGCCTTGTAATATAATAATAGTGTTCTGCTCCGCCATCATCATTCTCATCATAATTACCTCTGCTTTTCATGATGTAATGAACAGCTCGGTCACTGATGGCTGCATCACTCGGCTGAATGTCCATGAAGGGTTTACTGCCCACACCCATATTTACCATTTCCTGTAGACGTATCTCTAAAAGCACACACACAGAAACATGTTAGCTGTATGTCGTTCGGGATCACAGATGGATGCTGATCTCTGCTGAGCTCTGCTCACCTTTGCTCCTGTTGGCCTGCCTCCACAGGATGCGGGCAATGTCACTGGTCCACTGCTGTTTGGAGAGGGCTGTGGCCGCCTGCAGAACCAGGGTCTGGTTCTTTGCCTTGGTTCTCCTCCTGAACCAGATCTCAAACCTGAGGCCACTGTCCCCACTGGACTCTGTCAGACCGATGTCTGCAGTCTGCAACACAAAGAGAGGAAGACGTCAGTGGGTTGAGGGTCAGGAGGAAGAAGGAATTGACAAGAAGCACAGAATAAAAACTCCATCTAAGTCCTTATGTGTTTTATAAATTTGAGCCAAATACCACTTCACGAAGTGACCTTTGACCTCAAGGGAAGAGATGCAGTTACCTTGAAAGCGTGTTTATTGAAGACGTCTAGACCTCCTTCCATCTTCTTGGCTTTACTGAGGAGAAGCAGCTCCTCAAAGAGGAACATGTGGCGTTGGCACTTTTTGCGGCCGCTCCACACGGTCACCTCCTCCTGCCGTATCAGCTGACCCTGCTCCTTTAGGTTCACCTGCACACAGGTATACACAGGAAGTGAGGTCACGCTGATAACATCATCATAACAATTCTTGATCAGACTGCATCGCTGACTTACGTCACAGTCTCGGATGGCGTCCATTGCCAGTAGGTCGTTGCCATGGCGCAGCTGAAACTTGACCATGTGGGCTGCTGCCTGCAGTGCAGTTAGCTCCGCCTCTTGGGACACACCCACCTCTTTGATGATGTCATTGAGCAGCAACGCATATTTACTCATCCTCTGGATGGGTTTCAGCAGGTACGACGACAGATCCATCTTATCACCCAGCTCCAGCTGCTTCCTCTGAGATGACAGAGGTCAACAAAGATCAAGAGAGGTCACAGATGACAGATACTTAACTGCATTCTAATACCCCATCCATGGTTAACTAGGATGAAGCCACCAGAAAGAAGACAGTCCACTTCATTCAGACTCCTCACTCTGTTCAAATATTCTGTTGTTCTCTCTTAGAGGATTATTGTGTCACAAGCAACAAAGTAACATGAAAAGAATGGTAGCAGGATTAGCATTATAGTTAGCAACAAACATTCATCCTTATTATTGAACCTATTGATTATGTGAACTGTTGTAATCCGGTTATAAAAGACTAAGACTCAAAATAAAAAACTGGTTGGTTTTCTAGGTTCACTTTTGTCTTTCTTTCAGACTGAGTGAAGATCTGAAGGCAGTCTTCAACAAGTCAATTTCCTGGTTTATATCTGATAAAGAGAACTCCATCAGATGAAACTTTTTGATAAGGGATAGAACACAAAGCCTTTTGTTCAATCTCAGTTTCACATCACTGGGCAGCTGGAAACAACAGTTCTCTCTGAGGAACCATCTTAAGGACCCACAGTGTCAGTACTACAATGCATTCTGAACTAAAATGGAATTAGCAAGGATAATATTAAAGGCAGAGAAGAACCATGTTCTGCAGAATGTTCCACCTGAACAGTTCTGATGGGTGGGGGAAGCAAGCATAGCTTTGGAGTGAAGAAAAAGGAAAAGTTGTGTCAAGAAAAGTGCATTGTCCAACTTGATAAAAATGCAAGGGGCAAATTAAAAAAAAGATATTTCATAATAAGAAAAGATTCAACATGTCTGGTCTTCACTGAAGCCTATCTTGGCCAGAGAATCCAGTTTTCCAGCAGGTCAAAGGTTAAAAAGAGGAACGGAAATTAAACAGAGGCTTCCTAACAGGGTTTACTGGTCAACAGTCATCAATTTACACTCACCCTGAAAAAGGAGTTTCCATGGTTGGCCAGCAGGGTGTCAGACTTTGGTTTGTTCTTACTGTAAAGGGCGTAGAGAGCAAACTGCTCCTGCTGTAAACAATAAACAGACACAGATTAAAAAAGAATCCATAAACCATTGATAGAGTACCAACCATCGGTAACTACACCAGCAGCCACCTACATGTCGCAGGAAGCAGTGTGAAACTCTGAGAGGGTGTTTCCAGCATGACTCCAGCTCACGGAGGAAGAACTGACTGTGGAAGTCCAGAAGTTTCTCCAGGTTTCCAAAGATGACCGAGCGTTTACCCCTCAGGTCCTGAGGAAGGTCGTAGCGCTCCATCTCCGGGAAGTAGTGAATGATGATGTAACGCAAGGACCGCACATATTCTCGCTCCGTGGTTACCATCTCCTCCATGATGTGACGCAGTTTACTGGACATGACGCAGATAACGTAGAAAGTATGTCAAACTTCTGAGACTATGCCAAAGACAATAGTGATAAAAGAGGAACATTTCTTTTATAAAGGGCAAGTCAACTGCATCTTTGCTGCTGCTGGCAAGCCTTAGATGCGTTACTGCCACCTACTGGTGGCAGTCACCTACTTGCGTGAAGTAAAATTACAAATCTTTTTTCCGAGTGTATGACACTGTAATAATGATCGTCGTGCGTTACACCTGTATGAAAACATTACTCACCTCCCCCGTGGGCGTGCCTCTGCAGGAGGTGTCCCTGGGCTGCGAGCTCCTGGCCCTGCCCATCTGTGAGCAGGCGTCCTGGGGCACAGTGTGCGGTCGGCTGCCTCAGTGCTGCTGACCTCCAGGCCGCGAATGAACACGCCGGTGTTTCCTCTCCGCACCGGTTCACTGTGGGCACGTGGACATGCTCCATAGCGTGATGCCTCGGGAGTGGGCGGGCAGTCGAAACTGTGCGTCTTTCTGAGCTGCTGTTTTCTGCTGGAGGAGGAGTTCAGACGAGAGAGGAGTGGTGTGCGCCGCTGCACAGGTGTGGAAGACATGGGAGAGAAGGAGCGAGGAAGCACGAAAGAGGAGCTGCGTGGAGGTATGGATACGTCGAGATCCTCAGTCACAGGACAGGATAAAGAGCTGGAGGAGGAGGAGTCCGAGTATCCTAGTTCCGTTTTACTGGAAGAGGAGGTGGGACTCAGGCTGGGAACAGAGCTCCTTCTCTGGGCAGCATCTCGTGTCTTAAGTGCAGTCTCCAACTTCCTGTCAAACATCTTGCTGGTTTCCTGACACTTGGACCAGGCGAAGCTCCACTGACGGAGGCCACGCTCTCCCTGCAGCTTCTCTGCCTCCACCTTCATCTCCTGGAAACGAGCATCAGGGATTGGTGGATGTTGGCTCTGGTATTCCTGCAGGGAGTCAATCACAGCCTGGCATTTGTTGGGCAGCGTGCATTCCTCCATACTGACACCTGCAAGGTGACGCAGGCCTGCCAACGCCCATCCATAGGCCTGTGAAAAAAAAACAAAACAGGTGGTGAGTCTTTAGCTAACACCAGTTACCAATCCCTGCCCTCCATGCAATGAACCAATCAGGAAGTTTGACATGAATGAAGCTCAGTCTCCAGACTAGAACAAAAAAAAAAGATTGTTTGTATACTAATCTTGTCCTGTGTTATTACAAAATAAAATGTTATTAAAAAAACAAAATCACAGTGTGAAGTCCAATATTGACTTTAAAACAGGAAACAGCTAAAGCTCCTCCCACTGAGTTCTACCAGCTTTTCAAATGAAAGAGTCATGTGAATGTGAATTCACTCAGTTTTTGAACCAATTCCGAAGAGCAACATCGAAGGAACCTGGACCTCTTTGATGTTAATTGTCTGCTTAATGCAAACAAAGCACTAACATGTGCTGATGTCAGCATGTCCCTCAGTTAGATCTGGTCTAACATCTGCCTGCAGGAAGATGACAGTGACTGAAAAGACAAAACCAATAACTCTGGAAACTGGAACGCGCTCAGTCACAAGGGCCACAGTGGTCGTTCAAGCACCGCTGCACCAAGGAACGCGCTCAGTCACAAGGGCCACAGCGTTCGTTCAAGCACCGCTGCACCAAGCTGCACAAACCAAAAGCTCACTACAACACACACACCAACACACACACACGTGCACAAAACAGAGCTTTACTCACTGATGAAGGCGTTCAGTTAGTTTTTAGTGTGTGAACTGTACCTCTGAAGGGTCACTGAAGAGAGGAGATAGCCCCCCCTGCACACACATACTCCCCCCACCCACAACAACACACACACACACATTCCACCCCCACCTCATTCACAGACTGAATAGCAGATGGGCGGTCCCATGAGGGAAGGAGGATGGGGGGGTCACCACAGTAACAAAGTCTTTCAAAGGAGAGAAAAGAAAAGGAGGGAAAACTTGGCACTGGAGTGATACCTGGACAACACACACACACACACACACAGGGTTTTTTTCCCTGGTAAATCCCCCACAATGACACGATGATGTGAGCTGAGACTGGAATCACTGTCAGATTCTTCAGGTTTTTGAAGTGCGTTACGGTTGTTTGAACTGTGAGCACCCCCTGCTGTTGGAACCCGGACACAGATGGTATGTAGGCTGGCTCGCAAGTCAATAACACGGCTGTTGGCAGAGGAGCCAGAAAAAAAAGGGGGGGTTTTGCCACTTAACAGAGACAGGACTTGAAGCTGAGGTCCACTGTGTCTTGACGATATGTTTAACTGGTTAATGTTGAGCTGCAGGAGCTCCGGGGTCTTGAACATCTCACACTGCTGCACCACAGCCCAGAGACTTTTGTCCAGAGACTTTGGTTAAGAACAGTCAGTGATTTACACACTTTAGCATCCTGGTGTGAAAGACTTGAAGGGTCTCATGTTGATTCTAGCAGCAGGAGGCGCTCACAGCCCAGACACTGCTACCTTCTACAACTACATTGAACCTTAAAAAAATGCCGTGACCTTGGCTTTACAACAACAAATGAAGAACAGAATCATAATGTTCTTACAACACAAAATCACCATATGAAACGAGCTTAGCTAATGCTAAGCTAGCGTTTGGCTAATTTTAGACTTCATACAAACTAAACTAAACTTCATATACAGTTATTCAATTGGCTGGAACTGTTATGTGTTTTCCACAGAACACATTGGCATGACGCTAGAAGCTGATTCTCAGTTGAGCACATTTTCTGTGTGTGTGAGAGTGAGTCAGGTCAATATTCACTGTGAGTGCAACAGAGTGGGGAGTACACACACACACACATGCGATGCAGAAAGGAAACATGGTTGGGAGGCGGGGGGTTGGGCCGTGTCTGGGACAAACCATTAGCTAATTAATGGGCTGTGTCAACAGCAGTGGTGTGTACCTGGTCTAAGAAGCGGTACAGTTGGCAGGCCTGTTGGATATTCTGTCCTGTGGCCTCTAGTCGCTCAGAAAAACTCTGAACCAGAGTCCAGAAAGAGTTGATCCTGACTTCATAGACATGGAGGTCAGCTGTGGAAACACCCTCCCAGCGTTCGAGACGTTTGAGCAAAGCCTCTCCACGTTGACAGTAGTCCTGTGGAACAGAGTGTGGTGTGCAGTTAAAATCTTTCCCTCTTCATAGCCAAAGCAAATTTGAAAAAAAAAAAAAAAAAAGAAAGGAAAGGTTGTTTGCTCATACATGTGCACTGGCATACAACTCTTTGAACTGCTGCTGTTTCTTGATGACAAGCTGGAGAGAATCATCCTCTTCTTCTTTACTCAGATTCTTCAGACGAGGCTCTGCTTCTTGCCGCAGCCATAAACTCACCTGAGCGAAGGAACAAAGAGAAAGTTCCTCACATCAAGAACAGACACTGTGCATAGGAAGCCATTATTATCATTATGATGATGGCAACAGTGAAACGTTTCTCAGTCGTTCTGTGTTATGTAACAGTAAAATTCCAATGTGGTTTTTAGCTTCTTCCCAGGAAGCCGTCATGAGTGGAGCCAACTCCCCGTGGCCTGGAAACAATCCCTCTGCCCTGGCTGAACAGGTCCAGCAGCCTGACTGCCTTACAGTGTCAGACATGGTAGTCAGCACCCACACAATCCAATGGTATCTTTTATTTAAAAAAAAAGCAGTGCCTTCTGCCATTTGATGTTGAGACGGATTTGCTTTTAAATACTGGATATACTGAAATGACTGAAAACCAGGGCTGTAACCAACCAAACAAAGTATTGGTCGACTGAAGTCCTGACATTTTGACTAAAAATCGACTGGTTGACTGAGGGATTACAGCCCTACTGAAAACAATACATTTTTAATGAAACCCTGAACATAACAGGTTTTGATGTAGCTTCATCTGATCCAGTTCTTAACTCATTCTTTTGAAGGAAGTGCATTTCAGTCTTTAGACCGGACTAACAAGCAGATTGTGACCTGGTGTCTTCTCTGATGAAGACACCACTGGAAGAAGTACTTGGAGGACGTCTCGAGAAATAGCTCTGATAGAAGTGAAATCATTTATTATAATAAGTTTTTTTTTTAAATATCTGTAAAAACTTGGCTGCTTTGAAATTTGTCAAAAAAAATCATTACTGACCTCAGTAAGCTCCTGCTCCAGGCTGTTGAAGTCTAGGATGAAGCTCAGCTGCCTCGTCCTGGTGTTGGACAGTGTCACCAGACAGTGAAGAAGTTCGTCCACCTGATTGTACAGAGAAGACACCTTCTCCACTGGCGCTGACCACGCCTTCGACTCCGCCTCTCTACGCAGCCATGACAGAGAGGCCCCCCCCTCCTGCTGTAACTGCACCAGGCGGCTGTCTGCAAGCACACTAGACATCGCTGACTTGTAGCGGGAGGACAGCAGCTCGGCATCCTGGGAGGGGATTCAGAATATTAGGGATTTGTAGTACCAGAGTCAGGGGTAGAATAAAACTGAGTGAGTGAGAGTGTGTCACCTGAGCAGCAGCAGGAAGGGGCGTGGTCTGTAGGATGTTGATGGTCTCCTGCAGCAACCTGATGACATCTTGGCATTGTTTGGTCAGCTGCTCCACCCTCTGAACGACACACAAAATAAAACACTTTTGTCAGATTGAAATACAAAATAACAAAATTAGAAAGACAAAAACAGAGAGAAATCCACAGACCGATCTGAAGTAGAGCCAGCTGCTTTGACTGAAGCTGAAGGAGCCTCCGAACTCAACAGGAACCTGCTGCAGCGCCACCTGTCTGTCCAAAGATTTCAGAGACGTCAGCACCTCCACCTGAAAAACAACACCAACATGAGAAAACAACAATAGTTGCAACTGTTTCTCCTAAAGACAGACATAAAAACCTCCTTCTATGTGAGGCACATTTGATATAGCAACATGGTACCATGGGAGTCAGTCAGTAGTTACCTGAGTGAGTCAGTCACCTGAGTGAGTCAGTCACCTGAGTGAGTCACTCACCTGAGGAAGTGTCCGTTTGTCCACACGCATGTAAGAGGAATCTTTATCAACCAGCAGCAACACAGTATGAACAGAACTATTTTTTTCCTGCAAAAAAACAAAATACATTTGTTTATACATAAGAATATAATACATTTTTATATTTAAACTAATACCTGAAAAATAAGACAGTAGCACAGCTGGTACGGTGATCTTAGAACAGTTCCAGAACAGTATATTCAGGCAATAAAGACCGTAGAAGTCCTTTATGCAATAACACTGTTTGCTCACCTGCAGACACCTGAGGGCGGAGAAGAGGGCGGGTACGGGAGCAGTTCTGCGTGCATCCACCAGCACTGTAAGTCCCGACGCTCGAACTTCCTCCCTGCTCCACAAGAAAATGATGTAAAAGGAAGAAACATCGAAGAATTAAAAAAATAAGAATCGTCCAATTCAGAGGGCCGAATCCAATTCATCCTGCATTCCCACAGCCTCCGATGGAAGGGCGGGGTTAAACCGCTTTGACTGTATGCTACGCAATTACAGGGTAATTATAGCTTGTCTTGCCTCTTACTGATTTAAGGTTAACATTATTAACAAGTGTAAGAGATGTGTTTTGAATTGACCTTTATCTGCTAACAACCCTACTGCTGAAGGTAAATACCAACCTGGTCTGGATTTACTGACTTTGATACAATGTGACAAAATATTAAAAAGTACATATACAGTATATAAAAATGTACAGCTCTGTTTCTGTAAGGCTCATATGGGATGTGACTACAGAGACTGTCGCCTACCTGAGGGTGGAGCTGTAATAGAGCAGGAGGTGGAGAAGGTCTGCTCCCTCACAGTCAGGATGAGACCATACTGAGCTCCAGGTGGAGACAGTGAGCAGAGCCCGCCCGTTTCTATCTGTGCTTCCTGCAGAGACAAAGGCAAGCTGGAATTTTAACGTGAGCTTTCTAGGAGTGTAATCTGGAAGTAAACACAGTAATCTGGTGCAATTCACATTTTTCATGGTCATTTAAATGATTTAGAAGTAAAACTATATGGTTGAAATGTGCACCTAATCTGAAACCTAACTTTGATGATAGTTTACAGTAGATTGAATAATTGTAATAATAATCTGAGGCTTTTTTTTACTTTCTAATCATATAGATTAGGTATAATCTGTAGCTAAGAGTACAAGGTTTTTTTTTTGTTTGGTTTTTTTACCTGGAAGACAAACGGCTCCAGAGTTCAGTAGCAGGCTGTAAAAAGTGGACTGAGACGACTTAGAGTACTGGGGGAACTGTGGAGACTGGGGGGATCGTGAAGAATGGAAGATCTGGGGGGCGTGGAAGATTGATGTGGACCGGGGTGACTCCAACACATTGGAAGAATGTGGAGATTTGAGATGGTTATTGGACGGGGGAGACTGAAATGACACGTGGTTATATGAAAACAGTGGAGACTGAGTGGACTCTGAAGACTGGCCAGACTGATGGGACAGGAGGGAATTAGGGGACGGGGAGAGGCGGTGAGACTGAAGGACTTGATGGATTTGGACCGACGGTGGAATCTGAAGGGGTCGGTTGTGGTCAAGGGCCTGAGAAGATTGTGTCGAGTGGAAGGTCTGAAGGGACTGCGTCGATTTAGGGGGACAGGAGGACTGGTGAGATTGGACAGCCTGGTTGGACAAAACCGTCTCTGGGGACTTCACAGGGAAGTGTTTTGGGATTGAGACAGAATCAGCTGAAAGTCCCAGGTGTCCTGGTTCTGACTGGAGATCAGCAGAGTCAGTGGTTAAACCTGTTAGGTGAGAAAAACAAAGAGTTTAAGAGAACAGTTTAGATATGGTGAACTATTGAGAGTCGATGGAAAAAAGACAGTCAATCAGAAGTCAGAGGAGGGAGTAAGGTAGAGTCATCGACAAATCAGAGGAAGAGGAGAAGGAAGATGAAGTGATAAATGAGGAAAAAGGATTTCAGGGATGAAAGTGAGACGCAGAAACGGGTTTGTACCTTCAGCCTCCAGATCTGAACATCCTTCTGCTCCCACCTCTTCGTCATGTTCCTCCTTATCTCCATGGCCACAATGATGCTCCATCTTTTCCTGCTGTTGCTTCTCTGCTTTTTCTTCTTCCTTTTGAGGCTCCTCCACATCCTCCTCTCCTTTTACCAGCAGATCTTCCTCTTTCTGCCGACACTCTTCTTCACTGTTCCAGGTTTGTTCCTTCTCTTCCTCAATCTTCTCCACAAGATGCTGATTCTCTTCTTGATCTTCCGAGGCGTGGTGCTGCTCCTCTTCCTCTTTCTCCACATCTCCTTCACAAATGCACTTTTCTTTCTCTTCTTCATAGCTACACTTTAGCTTCTCATGAACATCATTCTCTTCTTGTTTCTCTTGCTCCTTTTCATCTTCTTCTTGTTTCTCCTCTTCCAGCTGCTCCTTCCATACTTGCTGCTCCTCTCCTTCAAAAACACATTGCTTCACTTCTTGATCATGTTTGTTCTTCAGCTCCTGCTCGACACTGCTTTGCTCCTGCGCCTCCGCTTTGTCCTCCTGTGGGTCATCTCCTCGTTCCTCTTCTTCTTCTCCTATTTCGAATGCTTCTGTGCCACTTGACAGCTTTATTGAGGAGGTACTCCCTGTCCAGATGTGCTCCTCAAAGACAGGAGACAGCTTAAGGATTGCACAGGTTTTTACAAGGTTTTTACAATTAAAGAAATCTGAACTTGTTTGAGTGGTATTTTCACAGTACGTGCCCTCAGAATGCCGTCTCTTCACCGTGTTTTCACAAAAAGAGTTCTTTATGTGTGTTCTCTGTTTAGCATTTTCACTGTCAGCATTCTTGGTGTTGGTAGATGTGGTATTTTCACAGTAAAGGTCATCGGGAGCTGCTCTCTTGTTGGTATTTTTACAATGAAGGACATTAATGTTTGATCTCGGTGTGATATTATCACAAGAGTCTTCCAAATTAGCTCCTTTTGTTGTATTTTCACAATAAGAGTCCTCAGGGTTCGTTTCACCCAACACCTGTGACCAAGTACTTACTGTCAACATGCACTCCTCTGGGGCAGGAGATGGCTTAACGTTTTTACAACAGGATTCTTCTAAATGTGCTCCCTGTTTTATATTTTCGCAACAAAAGTCATCAGATTTGGTGTTGGAGGTGTCTTCTGTGTAATGACCATCAGAGTGTAATCCCTTTACGGTGTTTCCACAGTAAGAGTCCTTAGAGTACATTCTCTGATTAGTGTTTTCAAAACAAGAGTCCTTGAAGTTTGTTAATGTAGCATTTTCACAATGAAACTCCCTGAAACCAGGCTTTTCACAATGAAACTCCCTGGAACCAGGCTGAGTGTTTTTTTTACAAAAAAGGTCCTCAGAGACAGGTTGAGTGGCGTTTTCACAACAAGCATCCTCAGAGTTTGTCCCATCTGTGACTCCACAACTTTGAGGAGAGACACTTTCCCCAAAAGAATAATTTGAATCCGATTCCTTTGTGGCATAGTCACAAAAAGGGTCCTCAGGGTTTTTATTCTGTTTGTTATTTTCACAATAAGAGTCACCAAAGTTGGGTTGAGTGATTTCTTCACAATAAGAGTCCTTAAACTCTTCCTTCTGTGTAGTAATATCAAAACAGGAGTCATGTAATGTATCTTTCTCTAAATCATCTTTACAAATAGAGACATCGGACTTTGAGCTTGGCGGGGTATTTTCATACCCGCGGTTTGTTTGTGCTGTATTTTCACAACATGAATTTTCAGAGCTTGTTCTCAGTGTGGTATTGTTAGAATTTGTGTCTGCAAAACTAAGGGAAGTGCTGTTAGTGAGTCTTCTTCTTCTCCGTCTTCTTTTATTTCTTTTTCTCGGTGTGGCACCTTCAGAACAAGAACCCCCAGAGTTAGTTTGTCGTGTCTCTATCGCACAGTTAGAATTTGATTGTGTGGCAGTTTCACAATATGAGTCTTCAGAGTTTGTTCTCAGTGTGGTATTATCACAACCAGTCTCCTCAGAACTAAGTCTCTGAGTTGAATTTGTTTTATTAAATTCCACAGAGTTTCTCCGGGGGGTATTTTCACAGTAAAAGACTTCAGAGTTTGTCCCCATGTCACCATTTATGTCCTGGGAGTCTGTTGCTTGTGTTGTATTTCCACAATATAAGTCCTCAGGGTTTGTTCTGTGTGACATATTTTCATGAGCAGCAGATGGTGGTTTTGTTATATTTCCATGGTAACAGTCTCCAAAAGTAGTTTGTGCTGTGTTTTCAGAATACAGGTTAGTGTTTACGTAACTGGTCTTTTCAGAACAACAGTCCACTGCATTTGTTCTGTGTGTGCTGTTTATATAATAAGAATCAAAGTCTGTTTTTAGAACTGAGCCAGCACTTTCCTCCTCTCCTCCACTCTTTCTTTCTTTCATCACTTCCTCTTGGTCCTCTTTTTCTTCACGACTGTCCTGAACAATTAAGAGTTGTGCTTCCTCTTTACTTTTATGTTTCTCATCCTCATCTTCCTTCTCCATCCCTATTGCATTGTTCCCTGAAACACCTTCCTCCTCCTCCTCCTCCTCCTCCTTCTCCAACAGTATTGCATTTTCCTTCTGCCCCATCTCCTCCTTCATACCTTGTTTTTGCTCCTCTGGCTGTGGTTGACTCGAGGAGGTTTCTATGATTTCAGGAGGACTCCAGGCGGAGAAGGAGCAGGAGAGAGTAGAGGCTTCCTCCATGACCTCACTAAGTCTTGAAGTGTGTTGTGCATAATCTGGTTGCTGTGTGTGTTTAGTTGTCTCAGTCAAGGTGTGTGTGTTGTCAGATAACTGTGTATTGTGAGGTGAGTGTGTATCTGCACTTGTGTATGTGTAGTTATGTGGCTGGAGTCCGTGTTTGTCTGATTCTGTGTTTTCCAGTGTGTGGTAGAGAGCGTGAGTGTCAGTGAAGGTGTGTGTGCTGCCCCTGAGTCTCAGCTGACGACTGATCTTCTGAGTTAATGACCCTCTCTGTGGTGATAAACAAGGCTCTGTCGGGGGTTTGAGCTCCGACAGCTCCACGTACTCCCCCTCTGAGTCGTCTGCCTCACTGCTTGACTGTTCTGTTTTTGTAGGTTGGAAGACTTTAACATCTTCCAGAGTGGAGGAGTCAATATGATGCACCTCCTGTTGGTGCTTGTGGGCGGTGCAGGAACGACTAAGCAGCTGTGGGTAGACCAGGTCTTCCCAGGGAACCTTGAAGACATCAGTGTTGGCAACAAGAATGCAGCGCTCCAGTCTGGGTGCTCCTCGTCGCTCCCTCTCCCTGTTGGCTGAGTCCAGCCACGCCATGCTGAAGAGAGAGCGCAGGGCTACCTCCGACAACTCCTGCTGTTCCACATGGCTGCTACATGCGGTGATGCTGCACAGGAGCAGACGGGGTGAAGGGGACGCACTGCTCCTACAGGAGGCGTTGTATGACCCAAGAGGTAGAGAGACCTGCAAGTAGAAGTCACCAGGGAGAAGGAGGTGCTGGTCCAGAGGACACAGATGAATGACTAACTTCCCCTGAACACACAGAGGCCAACCTTCATCGCAGGAGGGCACCTGAAGGAAAAGAGGGAGCAGACGAGACAGATGTCAAAAAGGAGCAGGACAGAAGTGAGAACTTTAAGAAGAAACATTTCTGCTGCTTCCAATTGGAAGCTTAGCAAAATGTATTTCAGCTGCACTAAATGGCATCTAGCAAAACAACACTGTATAATATGACAATATGTAAAAAGTATATGGAAAGAAACAAGCAAATCACCCAAAGGTGATGATTACAAAGACATTGGCACGAAGCAAACACTCTCATTATTGTACCACTTCTGGGAAATTGTTTAAACACTCTCATTATTGTACCACTTCTGGCAAATTGAAATTGTGCCTTTATAAATCGTCTTAAAATTTCAGAGTGGTGAAACTATTGGATGAAGTAAAACTGAAGTACGAGGGTGGTGGCCATAACTGCTGAAGGGTCGAGGAAGGGGTTAAGACTGTCAGGAAAACAAGTCAATTGCCATCAATGAGCACATCAGTTAAACATCAGGTAGACATTCAGAGCAGACACTTACAAAGTTGTGCTGTTGGAGTGTTTCTAGCAGGTGCTTGGCAGGTAACAGGAAGTGCAAAAGGAAGCGTACAATGTCTCCTCTGTAGCAGCTGTTGATCACACTGAGGACCTGACAGAGGACGGTCTCAGACGTGACTCTGAAGGGTGGGTAGAGTGAGGAGAGGACTTTTCTCACACACAGGTCAACGGACTCAGAGTCCTGGACAAAGAGGTGGCAGGAGACATGGGTGAATTCATGAATCCAGTGAATGTGTCCTGAGACTTACTGCCTCCCAAAAGTGTCAATGTGAGCAGCAAACCACAAGTAAAAAAACATTTTCAGAAACTGAGTGAACATTTTTAAATGGCTGATGTTAGAACGAAAGGGTTGCATTGACAGACAGGTGTTTACAGGCTGTTGCTCTGACTCACTAATGCACCAGTAACAAGGGCAACAGGATCTCCTAACCTCATGTTTGACCTCATCTGTCAGCATGTCAATCACAGGGCAAAATGTTGCCTAAAAACTATCTATGATTTATTTGTCTGTATTTATTTGGCTTTTAGTATCACAGTTATTTTGTGATCGTTTTTCCCCCGTCTTAGTTTATGTTTTTACATTCACACAAACAATGAAATCACAGGTTTGGAGTTGCTCTCACTGAACCAGTTTCAGTCTCCTGTCTGATGCCTGGGCTCAGTTCCTATTTCAGACTGTATATAAATAATCATATAAGACTGCGAACGTGTCCTCGCTGTCCTCATATCAGTGTCTTCGGGTGGACACCAAGTCTGATCTGTGTATACACACACGCCAATGTTGTGGACACGCGTGTCATGTGATCTGCTGCTAATATTGGCGTGTGCTCCACATTTGGCAGCTAGTTATTGTGTGCGACACATCCATAATATTACCCTAAACTCAAACTCAAATTTAAACTTTAACTGTAAATTTTAGTCTTTTTTTTTTAAACTATTACTTTTTAACTAAACATTCACCAAATTTCTTTTGATGACGGTTGAGGAAGTTGACAGAAAATAGTTACTTGATGTATTCTTTTGATGACGGTTGAGGAAGTTGAGAGAAAACAGAAAACAGTTACTTGATGTCGATTTTTAGTTAGAGGCTCCCAACTAAAATTTAATGATCCCAAACATTTATTGACATTTTATTTAATAGTAATGAACACTAATGAACAACACAACCACTGTTGCGGGCATTCCCGGAGGAACCACACACTTCCACACAACTCCAGATCTGCCTGTTGAAGCAGTGAGGGTTCAATAGAACATTTTATTGTGAAAATTTTTAACTTAAAATTTGGTGTCCTGGTGGTGGTAAGTCTATATAAATAGTAAGTTTTTACAGTTTGTGAAAAAAGGTTGATACAATAAAGCAGGGGTGACAGTTACTTTAGTCAGAGTCAAATTTTGGAAAGGGTAAGCAGAAATGTTGAGGGGGCTGTTGGTTTGAGTGGGGCCACAGGAGGTCAGTGGGGTGAAACATGGAAGCAGACTGATTGTTAAAATAGCAGCAGCAGAAGCCAGAGAGAGAGAGGGAGAGAGAGAGAAACCTCCCACATGCTGCTGTATAAACAGATGTTTTTTTCCAGAAAAAAATAAAATGTGTGTTTAAAAAAACAAAACAAAAAAACCCAAAATTTAATAATTGTTCCACGTTTTAATTTCCAGGCTCACAGATTGCTGCTGAAAAAGGTCAGAGGTCAAATCCCTGGGGAATATTTATTGCTTTCTCTAATACCAAGTCATTAATCAGTCAAAATAAAGAATGTAGTAGCGAGTCACTAAAAACACCTAACGCATAAACGTCCATGGCGTGCTGGTACAACATGGTCAGCCAGAGACATGGGCACTGCAGTCAAGACTTTTAATAAGTGACCAAAATTACAAAATGAGCTTTTTACTGGTAAACTGCTTGTTGTATTCCTTTTTAATACGGATGTAGCGATGCACTCACAATTGTTCACAACATGATTTTACCACAATTGTTTTTAAACAAAATGAGTTCCAGAAAAATTAAGTGTATACAATCTATGTAGAATACCAAGTGACAACTGAGGAAACTCAGTCCAATCAATAATCAGAATAACTGAACTCACACTTATTCAACATCATAACTTCATGTTTGTGCATGTGTGCGAGTACAAGTAAATGTGTGTCTATGTCAGACGTTTATTCATCAGGTCTGAGTCTTTCAACTGAACTGATCCCCAGGTCAGGTGACTGGTTGTGCTGGTTTTAAAAAGGTAGGGTGTGGATGATCACTTGGTAAAGCATATGCACACACAAACACACACACACATTCACATTCAAATTCAAATACACAAACACACTTTGTGTTCATCTAATTAACCACCTCTTAAAATTTGACACTGGTAAATGCTAAGGTCACAGCTTCTTAAAAGCATCCTAAAAAGAACAGGTCACGACCCATCAAGTAACAAATCACAATACTAATGCATGAGGTTGGAGGAGCTCCAAAGGACCAACAAGGGACACGACCTTTGACACACACACACACACACACCCTCTGTATTTTCAAAGGCAGAAACTTGATTATGTCTTGATTGACATTCAGTACGTTCCTAACACTGTGTTGCAGCCCTTCTAAAATGGGAGGAGTTTAAAGTAAGGATTTCACAATGCACTGTGAATCAGTAAAAAAAAAAAAAAATCAGTGGAAATATATGGCAATTTGCATTAGTTAAATTAAAAGAAATGTACATCAAGGTGTTAGGAGTAGCATGAGTTATCTCAAAAGGTCACGGGTCACACCATGAGACTACACACTGTAGCACAGCACAGGCGGTATGGGCCTAAAAACATTGGTTGTGACCCACTATTAAGTCAAGATGTCAGGTCCCTACAAAGCTTATGTGACATTCAGGTGTTCAAACAGAGCGTGGGAAAAACTTCTTCCACAGGCGCCAACTATGTTTTCTGTAAAGAAAGGAACTCTTCTCAGTTCATATTTTTTTCATTTGTTGTTTAATATATTGACAGTTAGCCAGGTAGATATGAACAGACCAGTTTGACTTTTAGTATTTCTGCAAAGAAATGTGCCTTTTTTTATTATGTAATTTAAGATCATTTTAATTTATGAGGTTCACATATCATTTCAGCTGTTAATGGTATTTTGCAGTTCTTACAAATAAAGGATCATTGCATTTGGTCTCAAACAAAAAGTCTTGTGAATCACAGTGAGTTCAGTGCATCACTACATCAGTAGTTAAAGGTGTGCAGGAGAGGAAACTGTATAAGGAACAATGTTTCTGACACATACCAACTAGCTGCATTTTCTTTAAACAGCAGATGTTGAGAGGTGGAGGGCTTTGGAGTGTTTTTTTTAAAGAAAGGAATATTCACAAGGTGCGTGTGGTTATGGTAAGGTAACATCTGGTTTTTCACACACAAATTCCACAGAGGAGAAACAGAGAAACCAAAACTAATGTGAAACAACTGCAGAATTCGGATGTGAATTCTGGAATCATTGGACAGTGTTTAACCTCAGAAAATCAAAATGCAGACATCCAATCATTGGACAGTGTTTAACCTCAGAAGATCAAAATGCAGACATCCATCTATCACCAATAAAAAGAAATAAAAATGTTTTATTGTTTTGGCCCTAAGCTAAACACGGCTGTAAATTTAAAGTTGAAAAATCTTTGGCAACACATTTATCCAATTAGTCAAACTGCTTAGCTTATGTCGACTATAGCATTGCTTGTTAACAAACAAACACTTATCTCATTATCATATTCACATTAAAGAATCCACACCTTTCAAAGACATTGGCCAATCAACGGAGAACCTGTATCGGTTAAGAAGGACTGTGTTCAGATCCTGTTGGTGTGCAAAGACAGCGTGATGTACACACTGTGACCTTCTTCATCTTTGCACAGATACAATATATGTGTTTACACAATAAATGAATGAATGAACGACAGGGTGACTTGTGGAGGCAGAAGGCTGGGCTCCAGGCATTTCAGGCTGCCATGTTTAAGGAATGTTCCACATTCTTTTGCTGTCACAACACGAACTACAGTTCAAATCCACGAGGATCAAAGGGGAGAACAGTTTGGAACTCCTAATGGTATTGGCCACGTTCACGTGATTTTTTTTTTTTTTTTAAATGACTACAACAAATTTAATTCGAAATAACAGTATAATGCAAGATGATGCAATGAGCTGATGAGTATTGATGAAAGTAATTCTGATAAAACAAAAAGTAATTAATAGTAGACTTCCTAACTTAGACTTAACTGTAATATCTGCCATTGTTACTGTGGTAAAAATTATGTGGTATCATGACTTGAGTCCAGTGTTTGATGGGGGATATTAGGAGGCAACAAGTATTGTTCAGGAAAGTCTATGTGAGTAATTAAAAAATTCTAAAGTTTGCAGGACTGCCTGAGGAAAGTGTTAGTACCGCATGTTGACCAAGAAGAACCACTCTCTCACACTTGTCTGTCCTGAGGTGCATTTTTTATGTAATTGCTAGTCTCCAAGGCAGCTTTACCTCGGACTGGAAAAGCCCTTTGGAAGTAGAAGTAACGCAGTGACTCAACCAAGCACCACGACCTTCACAACCCTTCAGAAAATCTACCCTTAACCTTCACAGAGTTCCTGTAGTAAACTGTTCACCATCTGTCTTTGTCCTTATTTCTGATGATTTACAGCAGTTAAGAATCGTTTAAAAAAAAAGGACTCTGACGTGATCAGAAAAAAAGATGTGGAATCAAAGGCAGTAAATATTTAGTGCCATGCTGCACTGGTCAGGGTCGTATAGACTTTGAGCTATGGGGGAGGTGAATCCCATTAAGGTGGCATGAGGTTTGTGTTGGTAGGGCTTTCTAGAGTTTTTTTGGTTGAGTTTGTAGGTTTCATTTTAGAAGCAGGATGACAGCAAGCATCAAACAAATGGAATGGATCAGAGCTCTACAATTCTGATTTTATATGTGAAGTGCATCTTCAGAAAACACTGTAGTACTGTAGCCATAAAAGTAATGGTGAAAAAAAGGGAAGGCTTTGTGCTCTAAACCAAACAACAGGAAAAAAAAAATAAAACTGAGACTGTAAGTACGTGCTTACACTATTAGTCTTACACAGCTGACAGCCCAGTCCTGTACCAACACATCTAAAACAGGCCTTAGAACTACTTCTGTCTCAGTGTTCCAAAGGAAACAAAGCTTGGAAGATGGTTTATGCAAAGAAAACATTTTTCAGAGTTTTACTTACGCAATTTAAAGACAACACAGTATTTTAATTAAACAATGACACTTCTCTAGTTTTCTTAGAAATTTTCACAAAATGACATTTACCCATTTCTACCTATTAACTCCTGTCGTTTAACTTACCCATTTCTACCTATTAACTCCTGTCTTTTAACCTGTTTTAACGTTACCAAATCACAGCACAAGCCCCACGGTTGTACATCTTCAAGACAAACCTCCCTAACAATTTATTCTGCAGAGTCTGGTGAATTATTGCTTGCAACCTTAGACAAGGTCTTGGTTCTGTAACATGCCATGCTAGGTTAATATAATACTAACGCCTTGATGCTCAATGTTAACAAGCAGGACATAACTGTGCACAAATGTTATATGTTTTACTTTTCTGAATGCAACAGATGCTGAGGGCTTGAAAAAAAACCACATTTCCAGTAAAATCTCAAGGACTTTCATCTCTATAAATCCATATACAGGTGTGATGTAAGGCTGCCATAAGAAACACATTCCATTGAAGAGAAGTTTCCTGTGAAAAAATGACACTTGTACATGACATCCAACCCACGAGCCCAAATGTATCACCTGAACATTCCTGCAGTTTTCTTCAACTACACCACCAACCCACCTCTTTTCCCAGCAGCCCTGAAACAAGTCTAGACATCACTGAACTTGATTCTCCTGCTAGGATCTCTTTCACTCTTTTTTTTCCCTCCTTCTCACAAATACACACACACTTTTTTTATCCTCTGTCTCCAGGGCAACTGTGTAAACCGCTTCAAAAACTGCAGCAAGGACAAGAATATGAACTAGTGTCTACGTTTTTCATATGATCATAAAAAAACAGCATAATCAACAATGTAAATATATTCAATTCCAGAATCTTAGATTAAAACCCGTCTTTCAGAACAAAAACATTTTCACCACCGAAAGTTTGCAAAAACAAAATCACAGCCTTTCATTCATAACAACAATGTTTGACAGTACTGTAGACAGGCTGTAGAATAATAACTAGTATCTAGACTTTAGTGTTGTGAAAGACTCTGCTTAACTTAATTAAAAAAAAATTCATTTTGTTCAAATACAGAGTTAATTAACTGAAATAAACATGAACACACACACGTTGAGAGACCATTCACTGAAACACTACACCTTCCCTGCCCCCTCCACCTCTCCAAACACACACTCACTTACTCTCTCTCTCACTCACACACACACACACACACACACACACTCACTCACACACACACACACATCAATGTTCTGTAGTGTCCAGCCTGTGAAAAGGATCTGTATCTCTTAGATCTTACCATAGTTTGCAGAGTCTGTTGTCAGCAGCTCCAGGTTCCAGTTTAAAACCATTTTCCCTCCTGTCTGCCTCTCAGTCTGTCTGTCTCTTAGTCTCTGAGCTCTGAAGTCTGAATCTGTTCTCATGCTTCACTTGCTCACATTCGAAGCTCCTCCCACTGGTGAGGGGCCAACCACCATCCCTCTACTTCCCTCTACTGGAACCTCTATGTTAGACCGATTAAATAAACTAATTAAGATCATCAGCTTATTTTTATGCATTTTTTAAAAATTTGATGTTTGATTGTTTCAAACTTATATTTTAAAAAATATATGAATGTGAACAAACTTTTTTTTAGTTATTGTCAGATTTGTAAAACGTAAAAACAGCTTTAATAGAATGTTTTTTTTCTTGAAAACACCAGATCCATGGCAGTGTCACAAAATAACAAATAGTTACACTACACTGAACAGTACATTGTTTACCCTTAAAATGTTGATTGTTGTAAACACTTATCTTTTTATCTGTTTTCTCACAAGACTATGTAACAAGAAGGCTGCATAATAATGCAAAAAACAGTTATTAGTAGGTAGTTCACAGAATATCATAATGAATAGTGATGAAGTACATATTATACATTATGACAGTATTGTGTGGTTTATAGCAAGAGTTTCAAACAGCTGCAAACTGATATATGTGGGAAGCTGAGAGTAAATCCCAAGTATTAGGTTCCAGATACCGGTGAGAAAAAATGGTTCGTTTGATTGGTTTCATAAAGTTTATTTTATTTTTTATTGATGCAAGCAAACACTTTGTGTATCTACAAGGACATGGCACTGTCGTTGAGATATTTGGCTCTTGTATTACTGCTACAGGGGCTGTTTCATATGAGCTAGCACTCAGCATGCATAAAACACTAAAAAGGCAGACAGTATCAAATAAATTAACCATGTGAAGTCTATTAACTGCAGGATGTTTATTCATGTGAAGTCTATTAACTGCAGGATGTGCAGAACTGTGAGACAGGATGTGGCTGAAGTAAAACAAATAAAGCTTTGATTTCAACTGTTCTTCATGCTGCAGTCTTAAAAACTGGAGTTCATCAGAATGACACTTCCATAGTTAACACTTGTGTCATCAGTTCTGGTGGAAGCTTCACCCAGTGCGTCTGTAACAGTCTATACTAAAACACCACAGGTTCAACCTAAAAGCCAATAATAGCGTCAGTCAATCACCACTCTATCATTTAGACTTTAGGTACAGGAGATAATTAACCCCATGTCAGACTGAACCACACCTGACTGATGAGTCACCAAACACCTGAGACTCCACTAAACCATGTCACACCTGCCCTTGTTCACGGATCACGGATGTTATAAACAAAACAACTGTGCCCTTCACTTCACACTTCACTATAGCCCTCCACAGGGCCACATGCAGAAACAAATCACCATTAACGTCCACATTCACACCAATTTAAGACCAACTGTATCCACCACTGACTGCCATCGTAGGAAAGCCTCCTGGAATAACTGCTAAAATGCTCCAATATCTTAAGTACCTTCATCTATACTGTATACAAATCTAAATAATAAGGATTTCTTGTTGTCAATTTAAAAACTCACTGAGTTTTCATTTAAATATTTATTAAGGTTACAAATACTAAGAAAAGCATAAAAATCCTTCACAAAGTTACTTCCAAAACCAGTGGAGCAAATGGCATAGTTTTCTCAAGCCTCTCTGTTTTGTTATTGAATACAGTTATTGTCAAAACCAAGGTTTCGTCAATAGGACTTTTTTTTTGTAAAAGTATGGCTGAGGATAAGGTGAGAGAAAGTGAGACAACGTCCCAGTAACAGGTGTTTAAGTTTGATTTCCTTCATGTGACGAGAGAGGAACAATAAGCATAAACACCAAAACATCATTGAGGTTCACTTCTAATCTTACCTTTTGGTAACTCAACAGTAAATACATACGCACATTTACAATTTTTCGCTCACTGTGTGAAAGAGACAAATATATACAAAACACATCCCCATGTGGACGTCACACTAGATTAAAGAAGAAAAGAAAAGCAGCAGAGGGCAAACAAAAGAAAAGCAGTAGGACTAGTGTTAATCAGCTTTTTGTACCGAATCCACCCTGGTCAGAAATGTTGGGTACACCTACTAATTACAGTGGGAAAGAAATAAGAGAGAGGAGAGAGAGAGGAGAGTGTGAGAGAGAGGGAGAGAGAGAAACGCAGCTCAAACTAATCCTCACATTATCAATGAGAGCTGAGTATATGTCCTCACAAAGGCGAAAAACCAAAGCAGAGGAGACGGGCAGGCCCACACCTGAACACACACACATTCTTTAAACACTGCAGTGAGTGTGTGTGTGTGTGTGTGTGTGTAGATGAAAGATAACAGAGAACAGATCGAAAAACCCCTGACTCCGTGTGTGTGTGTGTGTGTGTGTGTTTGAATAGGATGGATTTAGACTCGGCCACTCACGTGTTTTGAAAACGTTAGGGATGGACTTAGAGAACGAGTCAGCAACTGGTACTAGGTCCTCACCAGGCAGCACATGATTGTTTTAGACTTGGACATTATTTAAGTCCTGAGAAGTTAAGAAATAGGCAACAATCCAGCTGCAGTTTACAAAGGACTTCTGGAAGTGACCGTCACTCGAACATTTACCATTTACTGAAGGTTTGGTCTGACAAACGGGTAGTTATGGTTGACTTTTAAGCACACTTAGTCCCATTTAAAGCAAATGGCTATAAAGGTCAATGGTGTTGGTCCTGTTTACCCTGTTTAAGGATGGAAACAACAACGACAAACTCAACAGAAAGAGGGTTTAAAGAGTGGCTACTGTAATCTTTGCCAACAGATAATTACATTTATATAGTGGATGCATTAAAGGTAATGGTTGAAAGTCTAGTATAATCAGTGTCACTTTGTGGTAATTGGGTGACTAAAGCAAATGTCATGTAAAGTAAAGTGCACAGTAAAAACTGAACCTAGTAAACTAGTACACAGATAAGCTACGTGCATTGCAAATGTGTGTTGTTCTGCAAAGGTTGTATGCAATGATGCGTGTGTGTGATGTTTGGAGTGTGCGTGTATGCACTTACCCCGTCTGACGGAGCTCACTTTGTTATCCGATCGTAACATATCCAGCAAGACAAACCCAACAAAGTGACTCACTGGCTTATCTAACAAACAGGCTAACCAGCTAACAGGCTAATCAGCTAACAGCCAGCTAACCAACTAAGGAACTCTGTCAGTGGAGACAGTGAAGTTCAGACAGTAGACTGAGCAGAAATACTGTGGGTGTTCACAGTGAACAGAAACAGACTCTGCGCATGTAGAAAGCTCCGCCCTCTTTCTCTCTCTCACTCTCTGAAACAATCACATTCTTGAGAGAGTGTCTGAGTTCACCTGACAGCTGGTAACACACACACCCTCACCCACTTGAGTAGTTATTTTTGTGAGGACCTTGCAGTGATCACAGTAACTTGTAACCTCTCAATCCAAAATGATGCCTGGCCACAACTTTGACCTAGATCTTTATCATAGATCAAACCACAGACTGAGAAATATTCACCTGAATGTAATCCTCTATAACCTAAAACAAAGTCCAGACCCAACTAGAGATGCACGGATTACCATTTTGATAAATAAGCTTGACCTGACTTGATTTTTTTTGCCAATTATAAAACATTTCCCACAGTTCAAGAGGAAAGGCTTTTAACTGACAACATATTCTTACCCTTTGGAGCTCATTGTAGCTAACCACATTTTAGCTAGGCTGTTTGATGCAAATGATGCAAAATGATTAGGTGCAAAACCAGTAATACATGTGCTGAGCAGCAGGTGGCCAGTCAGGGCCGATTGCTAGCTGGTCTAAACTCAACACATTTCACAAAAGTGTCTGCATTATTGTTCCCACAATGATGATTGTTATGTGTCCTCACTGGGTAACACAACACACCCAGAGATAGAGAGAGAAAATAGGTGTTGGCAGCAGATAAAAGACTCTGTAAATAGATCAGTATTGGTGCCAACAACACTGAGCTCCTGTTACTAACTAAAGACTGTTTATAAGTATTGGACAGAGGCATTCAACAACTCTCAGTAAGCCCCCCAGACATATAGAGATGCTTTATTATTATTAATCAAGTTTGTATAAAGAGTTACTTCTTTCAATAATTTATTCTTTTTTGTTGTGCCAATGAATCCTTTACACAGTCACTGTCAAAACTCATGATGCACTAAAGTTAAAACCAGTCACAGGCCAAAAGCAGTTTACACCCTGGACAGCAAGCCCTACTCTTACAGAATCTTAGGGCACACTCTCAAGAGGACCAGTCGCTCTGTGCCACGCTGACGTTACCCCAAAGGCAACCGAGCTAAAGCCTGGTTGCCTGGTATGTGGTTAAAGCAGCGCCATCGAGAGCGAATCTGACAACAACGACTGCAATGGCTGCTTTGTGAAATATTTTCAAAATAATCAGCCCTCTGATCAACACCATGTAATTATTGGTGTGAGCTGCTGTTGCTCAGAAACATGATGCACTGAAATATCTGCAGCAGCATTTGACCATGATATGCATGTGGAACAGTGTGTGTGTTTTGAGTAGAGCGCACTCACATTAGCCCAAATATCCACCCTTTAGGGGGCAATCGGCAGTATAACAGCCCTAGTGTGAGTGCACCCTTGGAGTAGAATGTGTTAAGTTGGTTTCAAATACCAGTAGGTGGTCTGCATAAGTGGTATACGTGTCATTGATGTGCACACATAAACAGGCACATATGGATACTAACTAACAGCTGAGCTCAGTTTAACCTCCACCACTAACATGTTGCTCTTTTCTTCTGGAAGCCTCTATGCTAATGCTATTGACGTTTGACCTCAGACGGGTGTCAGTGTCTCTGGGGGCGAATAAAAAATGAGAAGGACACAGCTGTGGTCCACTGACCAAGAAGAGGAGGTGGTCTTTAGAGACAGCACCACATTTGAAGCAACAGAATTTTCACTATTGTTATGGTACCCAACAGTACCTGCATTTATTTTGTGTAAAATTTCACTTTAATGTATTTTAATTGGTAAGAATGCCATTTTGTTAAATTACCATGAGATAATTTATGGCTAATAAGAATGCAACTATGCTTTATTTGACTATGGGGGAGCCTGAGTACACATCAAAGTATCCTGTTTTTTGTGTTCACACTGAAACACAGCCTTAGAGTTATCAAAGGAAAACTGAGCCAGATGCATTTTACAACTCTTCTGTTTCAGAAAGAGTTTGTGGCCAAAATAATCACTGCAGTGTTTATCGTTTTTGGGGGAGAAATGTGCAAATCAATTCTTCCGTTCATACTTCTTTTTCTTAGTGAATATTTATTTTGTTTTTTGAGGCCTTTTCAAAGATCTCTGCAAGTCTTTGGGGTTTGTACCCTGGGACATTCTGTGTCTTAATTCCCCAGAGAATATTGGGGGTGCAGATCTTAACCATCCAATGGCTTAAACTGGCCTTTCACTGCCTTTTTTATTTAATTTGCAGTATAAATATTCAAAGACTGACAAGATGGGGTGACCCCAGTCTGATGGAGACACTTCAAACCTGACATTTACTCTTTGGAGACTGAATTTGATTCAAGGTTTAGGATACAAATAAATATTTTTTCATTTTAAATGCTACCATTCTTACTGCAATTGTGTTCCAATTGAATCACATAACACATAATAAATTATAATCAATAATCTGATTTAAAGACAGCCAAACAGTATGGAATGGCACATGTAATGCTGACTGGATACGCCTCAAAAATATATTTATAATAAAATGAAACACAACCGTATTGTCCAATAACAACCTGTGGACAATGGAATTGGTGACTATTGCCAACATTCGCATTTGCTAAATTGACATAATTTTCGATTGTATATGCTGTATAATACGGAAATCTTGAAAAATATGTTCACTGACACTATAAATTGAGAAAGAAAAAACATGTTTATAAACAATAATGTTCATACAGATCAGATAAATAGCCAAAGAAATGACTAATCTATGTATCAAATGAAATGATGTGGAAAGCTGTGATGAGTTCTCAAAATGTACAAACCAAAAGTATGTATTTTGGGAATTAAAACAACACAGCAGTGTTAATAATAGATAGTAAATTGGACAGCATATTTTTACTTGACATTGTAATAACCTACATACACAGACTGACCTGTCACGGGCCAAAATAGTGACTCAGAATAACCTCTGATTTCTGACAGCAGCTGAGGATCAGCAGAGCTGCTGATCCGAGGGCAGCTGCTCGGCTGATGTCATCAACTACACCGACTGTCACTTAAACACAAATCATGAAAGATAGTCAAAAGACAGAAGCACCTACCCTGGTAAGGATGAAGGGGGGGGCAAGACTGCTTAAGCTTCACAACACTAACGTCAAACGTTAACAACTGCATCTGCTATAGGCTGCTTTAGCCTCGTCCTTGTTTAGACAGAAATATTACTATCATATCTCTTGACAGAACATTCTGGAACATATTAGACCGTACCGTGTTAGTTTTCGTAGCCTAGGTAGTTGCCCCAACTCAGGGATCAGTTACAGCCTACGTTTGTTGCTGTGAACGTCCTTCATCAACCACTTTTGCTCACAAAACGGGACAGAGAAACGGGAAAAAACGTTTAGCTACGGCTCCCAGAGAATTCAATTCCATTCAAAGAAACGGTTCGTTCGCGACCGACCTACAGCTGGCTTTAGGTCGTACTAGTGTGTGTCCGTACTCACCTCACTACTGAAGACTGTTGTCTCGTTTCGTTTAACAGGCCTTCTGTATTTTTAGAAGAAAAAAAGTAAAAATTTTGACAATCGTAAATTTTCCCGCCTGCTCCGAGTTGCAACGACAGGTTTTTACAAGTTCCGCTGCGTGATCGCTCTGATTGGCTTACTGCATAACCAATCAGCAGTCGTTTTTCACAATTTCCCCTAGTTGCTGATTGTGTTGTTACGACACGACGTAATGACACGACAGGGGACCACGGCCTACATTACTGATTTTCAGAATATAACAAATTTACAGCATGAATGACAGCTCTTCGGTATAAAACAGTTCTCTCATATTCAGAACTTTAATAAGATCCAGGTCCCTTAAAATGTCAGAACACTGATGATCTTGTGGATTGGTCTGAAGAATACGAGACGCTAAGAGTTCACTAAGAATAACCTTTATTGATATAATTGCACACAAAGCAGTTGTGTTCATGGACCCGCCATTCAAGTTTCAGATAAAGGCCCTGGACATTATCAAATATCAAGAAAACTGAGTCACGAGTCACATTTGGTCTTGGTTGTCTAAAACATCCTGGTCCTGGCTACCTACAGAGTTAGCTAACATCGAGGTCATATTTTTAATTTCATTGATTATTTGATCATCCAGGTTATTGCTACACTAATTATGTTAGGCCATTGCTTTAAACGTTATTCTTGATACAAAGAGACAATACAGTGAAGCTGATAAAACAACAACATACTTGTGATCTGTTATCAGACAGCTAAACAGCAGGATAACAAGTAAGCACATGTAAGGGAAACAGTTCTGTAACTTTTTTTATCTCCCCCTACACAGAAATTTCACAAGGGCAAAACTATGTTTGCGGTTGATTTAAAGATCGACAAGTACATAAACACACAGACAAAAAGGGATTTTTTTTTCTTCAAATAACAACACAGTGACATGAGTAAACTGGTCTATTCTACGTTAACTGTTCCTGTTGGTTGTTAAAAATGTTTACATTTAACAACATTAACATAGCAAGAGATCCATGACTGTACTTCACCCAGTATTATTCTCAGAAAAGTAATTAGCTTATAGTAGCATGAAGTTCACAGAGTAATTATATTTGCTTAGAGTAGCAGCTCCAGGAAAATAGTTAGCTTAGCATTACACTCAAAGTGTGGTTAGGTAGTATTCTGAGAGCACGGTATTTTTTTTTTACAGTACTTTGTTTACATTGGGTTTAAAAGTGCATTAAACTTTCTCAACAGCAACTAGAAACAGTTTTATTCATTGTTGACTTAGCAATGTGTAAATGAACAGATCCAGACTCTGTCTTTTAAATTTGATCTGCGTTCATTTTGCATTCAGACCAGACTGGACTTTAACATGTCAATGACTGGTTTGGTCCCTCACATTTGTCATGGATGGTACACAGTACAGGAGGCAGTGATGAGTTTAGAGTTCACCTCAAGGCTGACGTCAGTTTCCCAGACATTAACAATCACTGCGATGGAGAAGCAGGTGGTGGTAATGTTTCTGTTTAGAAGGAGGTCCAAACAGAGACAGGGACAAAGACAGAGAGGAGACTGGGGTTATCTGTGTGAACGGAGAATTGCTTTTCCTGTTTCTGTTGTTTTCTTCTTGCTGATTTCTTCTTTTGGGTTCTGGATAAATATTTTATCCCAGAGTTTCATAATGTTTCTTACCTTCGGAAATAAACCTGGAAAAGTGAAATCTTAGGATTTAACCTTTAAGCAGATAATTAGCATGTTTTTTATCTTGACGAAATTGCTTTATTTGGGATTCAGGATTAAGTCCAGACATAATGAAACAATGAAACTTGGGAATGTGGCATTTAAACTCAGTACAAATTTGAAACCTGAACCAAACTCGGATCATGTGATCTTAACACCGGGGATTAACAAAACCCAGGTACTTAATGTTCTGTGTATTTTTAACTTGCCGATTAAATGGAGGATGAGTGATTTAAAATTTAAGCTAAAGATGGGATTTCTTTTTTGTTAAATAAAAAATTTAGCTGAGTTGTACTTCAGAATTCATATCTGAAAACCATGAAGTTAAATAACTAACCTTAAGTGTGTGTGTGTGTGTGTGGAGCTGGAGGCTGTGACTGGAGAGCGTTGGTCGCCCACTATAGGTGTGTGGGGCGCCGACTGCAAAGCTCACTGTTGCCACTAGGAGGTGTCGCACCCAGATTTCTCAAGTAAACAGAGGGTTTCCTGTTCCTGTCTGAGCCTGGGGCAGAGGTTGATGGAGGTGCTGGTGGTGGCAGGGTGGTGGTGGTGGGCGGTCTTAAGGACAACATAAGTGGTTGTGTCTCTGGCGGCTCCTCCTCTTCTTCCTCCTCTTCCTCCTTCATCTTTCTGTTCTTCTGTTGTATACCAGAGCAGCGCTGCAGCACTGGCTTTGTGTTGGAGGTTGTTCCTCTGTCAATCCTGCCTGGTGGAATGTATGAGGCTGGACGTGGGACATCCGGCCTGGAGAGGGCACTCAACCGAGGTTGGATGTGTTCTAGGGGAGCCGGCGGTGAGGAGACACTCTCCAGCGAGGAGATGCTCTGGTTCCAGGCCTGCTGTAGATCCACAGGGATGATCTTTGTCGCTTCTACAGACACACAGGGCAGTGAGTTACCCATGCCGCCCTTCCATGGCAGGACATCGTCTCCAGAGACAGGCGAGGGATAACCATCAGTCGGGCTCTGACCCCTCTCTAGAGGAGGGGGGACTGAAGAAGGGAACAGGAGACAGCAGCCTTTAAGATCAATCCACCAGTCAAGCAAATAGTCAATCAGGCGTCAGTACCTGACTTTGGTCTCGGTTTTGGTGTCTCAGCTTTACGAGCCACAAAGGTGATCCCGACGTCTTCGTCAGAGTTTTTGGCTTTGTCCTCATCTATGTCCATTGTCACGCCCCCTGGGTCTGAACACACAAAAACGTCACTTTCTCTGAATCACAGTGTCAACAAAACGTTAGTGGAAATCTGTCTCACAGTAACCTTTGTCCTGCCAGCTGACGTTACGTCTGGGTTTGTCTCCACCGCCGTCCTCCTTAGTGTCGGAGCCACGCTGCTGAAGGAAGAAGATACTGGTTGGAATTGTTGATCAACACACTCTGACATGTCACATTAAAGACTCAAATTTCAGTGTCCACGTCCTTTGTCCTTCAGGTGTGGTTGGAGTGTCTCACCTTTTTGAGACTGCGTTCTTTCTTGTGTCGTTTGTGACGTGTGGACTTGTATCGCTCCATGCGGATCTTCATGTTTCTCTGGAAAACCTCACGGTCCTGACGCTCCTTCTCTCCCACAGGCATGAAGTGACGACTGTAGTGGGACTGATACTGGACAGACACGATAAGAGGACATGGAGATAAGAGGGTGAAGAAATAAACCTTCTCTGTTCTGTAGTAGATCACAACCAGTGGTGATTTTCGTGTGTTTGAAATTGCTCATCCACTGTGTGAACTACACTACCTGTTTTCTGGGCTTGTACAGATTCTCAGCCAACATGTGATGTGTCTCGGTGTCTTCCTTCATTTTGGCACCAGGAATGTTGTCGATCACCTGCAGGTCTAGACACACACTGCTGCCGTTTTCGCGCCTGGACCACATCAATGACAACACACAAACATCCATCACTAACAGGACATCAACTAAACACCAGCAGCAGCGTCAACAACGTGAACAAGCCCCCACATGACTCACAGGTAATTAGTGACAGTGGTGAACTCGGGAAGTGAAGCTCTGCTAGCCACTGAGGGGAGAGAGAGACGAGCCGACGTGAGGACGTTCCCTCCCTACAGATGAATTATACATTGAGACAAGAGACAATTATTCACCTCGTACAGATTCCATCAATATTTATTACTCATTTATTTAATGTATTTATAACCATCTTCATGACAAGAAACACCAGCAAAGACCAACGGACTACAGTATTAGCTAATGAAACATGAGTTCTTTTTAAGGTTTTTTTTTATGGAAAAACATCACAGCGCGAAAACGCCCTCTGCTGGTTGACCCTCCATGTGGGTGACAGTGTGGTCGGTCGGTCTCTCACCTGGTCGATGACACTGATGGCATCTCTGATGTTGATCTTCTGATAAACTTCCCACAGTTCACTCTTTCTGTACACGGACTTCCTCAGCAGAATTTTACTGAGGTAATTCTTGTCAAACTGCGTCCACCTGGGAACACACACACACACACACACACACGTCATCTCACTAGCACCACACTGTGGTGATCTGATATAGTGACAGCCTCAGCAGACTCACTTGTCTCTCCAGTGATGGTAGCCCTGCAGTCCTGCAACGTCCTCTACTGCTGCCAGCATGTGGTCGAAGGCCTGAACACACACACACACACACACAAACAGGAGACTGTTTCTGTGTGTTTTTCTCATAAAATGTGCATTTTTTGTTCAACTACAAAACATCTGGGACATTGGATGAAAATCAACAAAGAAAATAGAACCATCACCCTTTCGTGGATCTCCTCATTGATTGTCGGTTTCCTGTTCGTGGACTGTGGAACTTTTAGCCATCTTACCAGAGGTTTAATGGTCAAACCCTGGTCAAAAAACAAACATTCCCATGACTAACTGCACAGGTCTGTGGTCTGTGTCAGACTGAGAGGTCGTCGGACCCTGGCCCTCTCACCTGGAACATCACAGTGAAGAAGACGACAATGATGGTCGTGGCGACAAAGTAATCTTTGGCTTTGACCTTGTCACCATCCAGCAGCACGACGAGAGCAAACGCCACTGCCCCCCGAAGGCCACCGTATGACATCACCACCTGATCAATCTTTTCCAGGGGAACCAGCCGAAAACGGTTGAGAATCCAGGTCTGACCAATCACCCCTGGGGGAGACAGACGGGCAGCGATGGTCAGTGAAAACAGCGGTGACACCTGACCTGACCAGTGATGTCATCAGAACTCACCTGCAGCTCTGAAGACGAAAATGAAGACGAGCGTGCAGGCCACCAGGCCCGTGTCCCACGCCCACTTGGTCTTGTCAACAGCAGAGATACCGAGGAAGATGAAGATGATGGTTTCAGCAATGCTTGCCAGAGTCTTCATTGTGTACTTCACCGTCGTACGAGACTTCTGCGAAATATTTGCCTCCACATATTTGTTGGCACCGATGCCACAGAAGGTCATCCTGACAACAGAATGAATGAAGCCCTACTTCAGTAATTAATAGTAATCACTCAGTGGATTTGATGTTAGACATTTATTATCTCAGTTTAGATACGGCCTATGGGCCAAAACCGGCCCACTAGGGTTTTTAATCTGGCCAGCTTGATGAATTTTGAAAATAAAGAAAAACACAAACACTTCATGGTCAAGATATTGTGTTCAATCTAACTATAGGCCTCTGCGACTCCAGTGGTTGCACTTACGATAGAATGGCAGAAAGTGAGAAGAGCTCAGCGGTCAGGTACGCCAGGTAGAGCAGCAGGAAGACAGAGAGAGGCTCAATGATACGAACTTTCTTAGTAAAACGGGTGACAAATCCCAGAATGATGGCGAAGACCACGCCCACCAAAGTTCCACCCAAGCTGACGATGAAGAAAGAGGCTGCGAGGAAGAAGGCATCGATGATAAAATACGGAGGTGATCACATGACGACTATCAGGTGATATAACTTACCCACGCCTTTAACGTAGTCCACTGTCTGGACGTTCTGTGGCCCGACGTCCACAAAGGAAATGAAGACTTTATACAGAACCTGAAAAATAAAGTCAGGAAGTTTTGACATTTGAAACATTTTGACCATGAATTTTCATCATCTCTTCAGGTGTCGTTGACTCACCACAGTCACGGCATCGTTCAGCAGCGACTCTCCAAACACGATGATGAAGAGTGTGTCGTTGACGTGAACCTCCTCAAAAACAGCAAGAACCGCCACCGGGTCTACAGCCGAGATCAGGGAACCGAACAACAGGAAGTCCATGAGGTCGGCCTGGACGCACTCATCTACACAGACACACACACAGACACACACAGACAAGGATAACAACACATTCATCATAACTGAGTAATCAATGATTTAACTCGGTCCAGTTCAGTCACAGGAGAGCGGTTAACCAAGGGCCCGACAGTAGTTAACTTAGCTAATTACCCACGTGGGTAGTTGGTCAAGCAGGAATCCAAAGACAGTAGTAGTAGTGGTAGTTTTAACCACAGAGAAGTAGTAAGATCAGCATTTGCAATATTTTTCTAAATACAACAGAGCAAATGTACAATATTTGTAACTTGAATAAATAATAATAAATTACAGAAACAGTTCATGAGCAGTTACATCTATACAGACTTCCATTAACAACTGGCCCTTCAAGGGGAAATTTATTGCTCATGTGGCCCCGCAGTGGAAATGACTGTGACACCACCTGCTGTACAGTAAAGGTCCAGGTTAATTGACAGCTAGCCAAGCCTAGCATTAGCACCACAAACACAGAAAGCTTGACTTTAGCTCTACACATTATGGTGACATCACCACCACCTAGAGTGACCTTTGACCTTCAGTTACTGACCTATGATCCCCAGCTGCTTGGCTGTATACAGGCAGAACCCGGAGCAGAACGCGTTCCACAGCGTTCCCACCACGGCATACGTCAGGATGGTGCCCAGATTGTCGAAGAAGAGTCTGGACGGCATGAAGTAACCGGCATCACCGACGATGGTTGGCAGCAGAAAGAGGAAGAAGAGGGCGGGGTCTAACTGGTACAGCTGCCTCTTGTTGGCCAGCAGGACGACCCCCCCCAGAACCAGACCCAGGAGGATTAACATGCAGCTCTCCGGCACTACCGTGGTGAGGCGCTGAGAGAAATGGAACACTGCCGTGGACACACACAAACAGATATTGTAGCAGGAGTACAAGGAGACTTTCAGAATAAAATCAGGAATACTAAAATTAGGAATTATAAAATTGAGAATAACAATATTCAAGACTGTGAGTATGAGTACCACTAGTGGTACTCGTACCACCGTTTGAGAACACTTGAACTACAGCAAAAATGCATAAAAGTGTGTGTGTGTCAACACTCGTGTGTTTGAGTCAGAAAATCAGCGGAGGAAACGGGCTCTCATTGTTTCTGTGTGTGTGTGTGTGTGTGTGTGTGACATTATCACATAAATGAGCAGCATGTATGTCTTGTTAATGTCACACTGAGTCACCAGTGTCTGTGTGCGGATCTGGACAGACTCTCAGCAGAAAAACAAAGACACAGAACATATAGACAGAAGGGAAACAGATGCACGAACATTCAATGTTCTTTAAAAAATTCCATGGAAAAAAACAGTCGAAGACGAAGCAGCAGGAGAAGTCTACCTTCTTTTCACTATGATTTAAACTCCATTATCTATAATTTCTCTGTGGAATCCATTTAGAGCCAAAAAAAATTCAAATCCAAATGTTAAATTTAAATTTGTAAACTGCTTTAAGGAGAAACTTTTTCTCAGATTTTCAGATGTATAAAACACTTTGAATGAGAATAATAAAAATAACTCTCAAGGTTAAGGTCACAGATTAAGTCAAAGGTCACACAGCTGGAGCCTGGACAAAGATATGGTGAGAAAAACTGGTCTGAACTGGTTTTTGTCATGAACACATAACACCTGTAGAAATGATAAACATCTGTCTGAGGACTTTCTGACTGACCCTGTTATAATGAAGTCATACTGACAACATTTTCCAACACATCCTTTCACAACTGTCAGATTTGGTGTAGCCATAATCAATCAGTAATCAGTTATTCAATCAATCGACCAATCGATCCATCAAAAAGTAAATCAATCAACAAAACATCTGGAGAAAATAAGAACAACTTTCATCACGTTTTTCAAGCCAGAACTTTTTAAAGGAACCTGACACTGTTTTAATGAGGATCAAGATCAGAACCAGGACCTGGATCTGGAGCCTGGTTTCAGGAACAACAACTTACGGATCTTGGCTGCACTGGCCACCAGCAGCCACATGGCGATGATGTACGGAGTCTGGACGTAGCTCCATTCCCACTGAACCACATGGAACCCGCCGCCGTGATGGTCGTGACTGTGTTCCGCCTTCTCCTCTCCGTCCACCGCCGCAGCGGAGCGGGCCGAGCCGACACCGGGAGGCCCGTGTCCTGCGCCGGTCTGGGAAAGGAGCGACAGAGGCGGAGAGGATGAGGCTGAGAAGGAGGAGGCGGAGGAGCCCAGCTGTGAAGTACGCAGCAAAGGTGCTCCTGTCCCGGACGGATCCACGGAGGAGGAGGAGGAGAGGAGCAGCATCAGCAGCAGGAGCAGCGGCATCTTTAATCACAGATCAGAGAAGTGACATGACTGTCATTTTATATACGCTCCACGCACACGCACACAACCTCACACATGCACACGCACGCTCAGGCTCCGAAAGGACACGGAGGAGGGGACACGGGAGAGGCACACGTGACACGGCCGAGAAAATACAGTCCACCTTAAATCACACACGACTGCGCAACAGGTAACACATAACAGTAGAGTGCAACAGGTAACATTGGAATAAATTAATGAATAAAATTAATTATTACAGATGAGTGCACGCTGTGCGCCCCCTGCTGCTGGAACCCGAGACACACAGGCTGAGTGGACAAGAAAAGACGCTGTTGTCCACAAGTCAATAATCCTGGAGGAGGTAGTCAGACAAAGACGACCGGAAAATTAAGTCATCGAACTGACGTCACCATTTGATTGACAACGTGCTGAGCCACCACACAATCGGAAATTAATCAGCGCTGAATGAGCAATTACTGTAACACATTCATTTCTACCACCACACAATCGGAAATTAATCAGCGTTGAATGAGCAATTACTGTAACACATTAGTTTCTAAAGTGGATGGTGTGTGTGTGTGTGTGGGGGGGGGGGCAGGTTCAGGGATTTCAAGTTGTTTTTACTGATTATATAAATTGGTCAATAAACAGCAACTGAAACACAGAGCTAAAGAACTTCAGGTATTGTAGGTATCGATACAAATCCGTGACGATACGCATTGGTTGAAATAAAAAATTGAATCGCGCATCAAAGCGTAAAAAGTACATGTCATGAGACTACACACTCTCGTACAGTAGGTGGCGGTATGTGTCTAAAAACGTTGGTTGTGACCCTCTAGGTCCGTACTTAGCCATGTGACATTCTGTATTTGGTCAGAATTTGTCTCGAGGTCATTTAAAAAAAATAAAAAAATCATATTGGTAACAGAGAATCACCTTGATCATCTTATCGTGAGTCGAGTGCACGGTTTCATCCCTAGTCCTGATCAGTCAGAGTCACGAGTCAGACAAAAACTGATCAATAATCTTTATTCATCAAATTCATAAAGTGTTGATACATTTTATTAAAATGTTAAATTAAAACAAACTAATCTGAAGACAGAAGGTGGTGAGAGGACTGGACTGTGTCCACCACAGCACCCAAGAGTGACATAGAGGAGTGTCATGTGACAGTTACTTCCTGTGTGTGTTTGTGTGAGTGAGTGTGTGTGCATTTGATCACAACAAACTTCATCTTAAAACAAAAAAACTAAAAAGATAAATATAACTGTAGAGGACAGTTCGTGTCTGTGACTGCTGTGTGATGAAATATAAGGTAGAGCTCTCGTCCACGTCCTCTGTCCACTTCCTGTCTACTGACGACCATCCGCTCCAGGATCAGTGTCTCTGATCAGTCATGATGGATGAACCGATCACAGTCTGTCTGTGTTCTTGTTGCCATCCAGTCCCAGAGCCTGGACCATGTCCACACTGAGACCTCCTTTCAGAGTCCTCCTTACTGAAAGACAGACAGAAGGACACATGACACTGACCGCCAGTACCAGGCTCAAAATGTCTCAGAAGACTTTGTGAGACACTGGAGTTGTCTTCATCAGGGGGACGATGTCCAACTTTTTATTACACGTGTGTCTGAGTCTTTGTTTGGGGAAGTCGTGGGTCACGGCCTGCTCAGGGACAGGTGGTAGACGGGGATCAGGTCTTTGTGAGATAACAGTGTTTTGGACACAGAGGATCACAGAGGACGAGGTGGAAGTCCTGACTTTTTAAATATTTTTTATCCTGAACATAAATGACTGTGTTTGAGGTCGTTCAATAAGAATATCGTCAATATCAGGGACACCGCACATATATATTTTTTATTTTTTTAATAGTCTACAGAAACTCGAGTTTGAATTATAGTTAACAATTTCACCTGTGTGGGATCAATAATTTATTCTAATCTAATCTACCATATTTTCTGGACTATAAATCCCAGTTTTTTTATCCTTTGGCTGGGATTGCGACTTATACTCAGGTGCGACTTCTATATTAAAATATTTCGTTTCACTTTTGTTATTTTTACACTGACAGCCACTAGAGGGCACTGCTGCAACTTATACTCTTGAACGATTTATAGTCCAGAAAACATGGTCATCTAATCCAATCAGTCCATATGTATAAATCTCACTGCCTCTGTCTCAGAGTCTCTGTCTATTTGTCTCTGTGTGATGTCCCCACTGAAAATGCCATTGTCCCTGTCTCTCAGGGACAGTTGAGGATCAGAGTGAGATTAGACGCGTATCAGGTTTTTCTGTGATAACACTGTTTTGAACACAGAGCTCAGCCGGACTCTCTGAGGTCAGACGTCAGGTGACGTCGTCACTTGCACTCACTTGACTTCCTGTTCAGTCTGGACCTTTTCCGGGTTTTGGGGCTTGACGTTCGGTGCGAGGGATTCTGGGTAACTGACATGACGAGGCGGTCCATGATGTCGTCCGTGGCATCATCCTGGGAGCTGGAACCATCATCTTTGGCCACAAACATCTGAGACGGACTCATTCTTCCCAGACCTGCACACAAAACCAGAACTGACGCTTCCCAGACCTGCACACAAAACCAGAACCGACAACTGTGGATCAGAACCAGAGACCAGAACCACAACAACAGGAAGAGGAGACAGAGGACAGAGTCTTACTGCGGACAGCTCTTGACCGTCTCAGTCCAACATCAGTGCTGATCAGCATGTTCTTCATGTTTTCGTGCTCCTCCACCTGATCCTGCTCCGTCTCCACTGCGGACGCATGGGACAGAGGGGTGGCGCTGTCCTGCACCGCCCCCGAGAACTTCTCCGTCTGTCGACAAGAGAAAATAAAATGAGAGTGAATTCTGAAATGATCAAGAGATGATGGACGAGAAGACGGAGAACCAGAAAAACATTTAAAAAGTTAAATATGTGAAAACTAGGAGAAGACAACGGATGACTCAAAGTAATATAAACATTCACTGACTTTACAGTGACTACAGTTCTATTGAGGGCGGGGCTTTGTGCATGTGGGCGGAGCTATGAGCTGACCTCAGTGATCATCTTCCCTCTGGTCTTGGTTCTCTCTCTGTGAGCCGCACGTTTACGTCTCTGCGTCATGACTCGCTCTCTGCACGTACGATACTCCAGAGCAAACTCGCTGACGATTCGACAGAAGGTCGTGACCTTTATGTCC